GAAATGGAGTATGAGATATAAAAACAAAGTATTTTGTTTTCAGGTTTTGCCTGATGGCGATTCCCGACGCTATAACTTTCGAGTTCACTTCTTTTCTCTGGCTAAGCTCGCAAATCATCTCTCCTCTGCAACCTGACGACGTTGCTTTGTTCGATTTGCTTACCGAAGAAGACGACGATGTCTCTGTTTGCACGTCGTCCCTTAATCGACGACGCATCTTCATTTGCGACCAACGAAGAGGAACTGTGCGCACATCGTCTCCTAAACGACGACGCGCTGCTCTCTTTCGCTTTCGTCTTCCTGCCCGACCACGCTCTGTTCGCACGTCGCAGACGAACGTTCATGCCTGGCAGACGGTTTTTTCTCGCATCCTTCTCTTATTTTTGCGACCCACCAGCTCTCCTGGCCGTGACATCTTGGGAGGGAGATGTCCTCGATGATCCGTTCTTATGCAAATGCCCTTGCCGGGGACTTGTTCTCTCCTGCTGGTGCCCCTCCTCCAGGTTCGGCACCTGGTTTTGCTATCGGTAAGTCTTGCAATGTTCCGGAATCTTTCCACAAGGCTTTTGAAGGTGAAGTGATCACACTTTTAATAGAAAGCTTGGAAAAAAAATGGGAAGCTTGCACTTATTCTTACAGCGGCTGAAACAGGTACTCTCATATCCTCTTGGCGTTTTTCTCTAGTGGGGAAATTCCTTTATGATCATTCAAAACTTGAGATCATTAGGAAGGAGTTTGATGCTATGAAACTGTTGGGTAGTTGGAATATTGGCTTACTTGACGGTAGACATATACTTATTCAGCTATCTCATGATACAAAATACACTCGCATTTTCTCTCGTAAAACTATCAAGATTTACAACCATTTTATGAAGATTTTGAAGTGGACAGTCGGTTTTGATCCAAAAGCGGAGTCCCCTATTATTCCCGTTTGGATAAAGTTTCAAAGGTTAAAATTACATCTTTTCAACATGAAAATCCTCTACTCTTTAGCAACTGCTTACGGTAAGCCTCTCAAAGTGGATAGTCCTATGCTTGCTGTCACTAGACTCTCTGTGGCTTGTGTGTTAGTTGAGAGAGATATCACTCAACCGGCTGCAGATGAGATATGGATTGACACTATTCACAACGGGTATTGGCAAAAGGTTGAAATGGAACCACATCCTCTCTATTGCTCTCATTGTAGTATGTTTGGACACAACTCTACTATTTGCTATCGACTGCATCCTCATCTAAGGCCAAATATCACAAAAGAACAGCCACCTATTATCCCAACTGAGAAGATGCAACCTGATCCTCTTCCCAACATCGTTGTTCCTAAGGACGAACAATGATATACCGAAAATATATGCATTTTTAGACCCATATTTTATACTCATTTCTGGTGATATTGCACTTTAATAGAAGGTATTTTGATATTTTCTTGCAGGTTGTTGATTTTTAGGGATTAAAGCAAAAAAGAATGCAAAAGGATGAAATTTAGAGTCAAAATTAAGTTTTTGAAAAAATGCTCAGCGCCAGCAGCGCCGACGGCGCAGAACAATTTAACGCTGGAGATTTTTACTCAACGAAGACGGCGCCAGACCAACACCGTCGCGGTGCAGACCATATTTCTAGAAGGTTCGATGTATTTGGGTGACTTTATGAAGATTTTTTGGAGGCACCTCTTGGAGAATCAACCTTGGGCTCTATTTGGGGCTGAATTTCATCAGAAATGAATTTCATCATTTCATCAGAAAATTTGCTCCTCTACGTTTTTCACTGCTCTACGTTAATTTTTCGCTTTACATCATTCCATTCCACTACCATATTGAAGTCAATTAGTGATTTTGCTTTCATAGTTTAGAGTTTTTGTGGTGAGATTTAGTGTGAAACTTTCCGTAAGAGTGTTGGAGAAGGAGAAAGTGAGAGAATTCTTCTTCCCACATTTTTAAAGAAAGGCTATAAAGGATTTGCTTTGAGAAAATGTTTCAGATAAGTTTGATTGTTTATTTAGTGTTGTATGAACTTTATTTTATATATGAAAATTTTCTTTTGTCTTATCTTTCTCATGAAGTCTGAG